AAAACTACTCCTTGATCCAGGGACTACAGAATGGATGCTGTGTTAGCAGGCATGGAAACAACATTCATCTCCTTGTATATCTCCATCAGAGCCCTTTGGTGACCAGGTGCATTGTCAGTGAGCAGTATATAATATTTTGAAGGAAATTGCTTTTTTCTGCGCAGTAGGTCTTAGCAGTGAGCTTAGAATGTTCAGTAAACCATGCTATAAACAGATGTACTATCATCCAGGCTTTATTGTTCTATTTATAGAGCACAAGCAGAGTAGATTTAGCATAATTCCTTTTCTCTTCTTCTTTTTTTTTTTTTTTTAAGAGACAGGGTCTCACTATGTTGTCCAGGGTGGAGTGCAGTGGCTATTCACATATTCAATCATAGCCCACTACAGCCTCGAACTCCTGGGCTTACTCAAGCAATCCTCCTTCCTTCCCCTCCTGAGTAGCCCAATAGGCACCTGCCACTGAGCCTGGTTAGATTTAGCATAATTCTTAAGGGTGCTATGATTTTCAGAATGGTGAATGAGCATTGGCATCAACTTAGTCACCAGCCACACTAGCCCCTAACAAGAGAGTCAGCCTGTCCTTTGGATCTTTGAAGCCAGACAGTGAATTCTCTCTAGCTACCAAGGTCCTAGATGGCATCTTCTTCCAATGGAAGGCTTCCAATGTTTGTCTGCATTGAAAAATCTGTTGTTTAGTGTAGTCACCTTCATCAGTGATCTTAGCTACATCTTCTGGATAACTTGCTACAGCTTCTACATCAGCACTTACTGCTTTGCCTTGCACTTTTATGTTACAGAAATGGCTTCTTTAAACATCTTGAACCAACCTCCACTACCTTCAAACTTTTCTTCTGCAGACTCCTCACCTTCAGCCTTCATAGAATTGAAGAATTAGGGCCTTGCCCTGGATTGGGCTTTGGCTTAAGGGAATGTTGTGGCTGGTTTGATCTTCTATCCAGACCACTTAAACTTTCTCCATATCAGCAATAAGGCTGTTTCACCTTCTTATCATTCATGTGTTCACTGGAGTAACACTTTTAACTTCCTTCAAGAACTTTTCTTTTACATTCACAACTTGTCTGTTTAGTGCAAGAGGCCTAGCTTTCAGCCTATCTCAGCTTTTAACATGCCTTCTCCATTAAGTGGAATCATTTCTAGCTTTTGATTTAAAGTGAGAGACATGCAACTATTCCTTTCACTTGAACACTTAGAGACCATTGTAGGTTTATTAATTAGCCTAATAATAGGGAGGCCTGGGAAGAGGGAGAGAGATGAGGGAATGCCAACTGGTGGAGCAGTCAGAATACACACAAGATTTATTGATTAAGTTTGCTAGTTGTCTTATATGGATGCAATTCATGCCGCCCCAAAGCAATTACCATAGTAACATCAAAGGTCATTGATCACAGATCACCATAACAGATATAATAATAATGAAAAATTTTGAGATATTGTGAGAATGACTGAAATCTGTCACAGAGACACTAATTGAGCACATGCTGTTGGCAAAATGGCACCAGTGGACTTGCTCAGTGCAGGGCTGCCACAAACCTTCAATTTGTAAAACTGTAGATATGTGGCATCTACAAAGCAGAATAAAGAAAGCTGCAATAAAATGGGGTATTGCCTGTATGATGTTTTCAAGTTCCATCTATGTTGTAGCATGTATCAGTTCTTCTTTTATTGTCAAATAATAATCCATTGTATGGACGTACCACATTTAATTTATCCATTCATCAGTTGATGGACATTTGGGTTTTTTCCACTTTTGGGCTATTAAGAACAATGCAGCTATGAGCATTTGTGTACAAGTTTTTGTTGGACACATTTTGATTTCTCTTGCGTAGCAGTGGAATTGCTGGGTCATATTATAATCTACATTTAACCCTTTAAGGAACTGCTAGACTATTTTCCAAAGTGGCTACATAATTTTACATTCCCACAAGCAGCACATGAGGGTTCCAATTTCTCCACAACCTCACCAACCCAACATTCGTTATAATCTGACTATTAGATTGTAGCCATCCTAGTGGGTGTGAAGTGGTATATCATTCAGGTGTTGATTTTCACTGAGATAACTTTTAAAAACTTAGATTAGCAAAAATTAGTATGTTGAAAAAAACCCTATCTGGGCAAGACTTTGAGGAAACAAACACTCTGATTAGGAGTGTAACTTGGTACACATTTTATGGAGGTCAGTTTGATATATTAAAATGTGAAATATATGTAACCTCTGACCAGATATCCCATTTCCTAGTATTTGACCTAAGGAGAAAACCATATGTTGGGAAAACATGTATTGTCATATTGTTCTACTGTTGATGTTAATGGCAAAAACCACAATTACTTTTGCACCAACACAATAATCTCATTATATCAACAACTTTGAAACTAACTTAAATATCTATCAAGAGAAAACTGGTTAAATGAATTCTGATGCACACATAGAATATCTAAGCAATCATTATAAATAATGATGCAGGTAAAGTATATTTTTATTTTCATGTAAAGCTATCTACCACATATTGAATGAGGGAAAATCAGGTTATTGAATATCTTCATGAAAAGATCCCACTGGTGTAAAATACCTGTTTGCCTAGAAAGATCTTTTGAGATGATGTCCAAAATGTTAACAGTGATTATATCCTAGTGGTCAAATTTTACATGATTTTTTTTTACTTTGTTCTTTGTATTTAATTTTGTTGAAAATCAGCCTCTATAATTTTTTGAGACAATTATAAAACTATTACAAAAGACTGCATTTTAGAAGTTACATTTTTGTACTTAATCAAGGCTTAAATTTTAGTTAGATACTCTTTCCCTATCATTTCTTTTTAAACCTCAAGCTAAACGCATAAAGAAATTCACTATAGTAGTGATTATATTCACTTGGTGTAGAGCATTGTCTTATGCTCTTCCTTCAGAGACTTTTATTTATACTTTGGTCTTTATAGAGTTATTTTTATGTGGAGATATGACAGGTATTAGGATTTGGGGTTCCAATAATAGGAACAGGTCAAAATGGTTTTCCATCTTTCTGGTTATTGGGATAACCATTTTGGATTCACATATTCTCCCTTCCACTCTTCCATCCCTCTTTGCTGGAGAATAACATTAACAACAGCTTTCTTTTTCTTTGAGTTACTATGTGTTAGGAACCATTCTAAACATAGGCATGTATTTTACTCATCTAACTCTCAGGCCAATCCTGTGAGGTTGACAATACTGCAGTGATATTTTACAAATGAGGAGCGTGAGGGATAGAGAGGTTAAGTAACCTGTCCAAGGTCACTCCACAAAGGAATGGCAGAGCTGGCACTGGAGCCCAATAAGTCTGGTTCCAAAATATCTGTGATCTAAACTGCCACACTCCACTGCCTCTCTGACTTTCCTCCTAAATATGACTCCAAACACTTCTTGGAGGTTTTCCTTGTTTCTCCCCCAAGCTGTCATTCCTACCAGAAATGCCAGAGAGGCTGAGATAGTGTGTACACCTGACTGGGCTTTCCCGCAACAAATGCTCTATGGAGACACCTCTTTGCTGTTTATATATTTACCCCCTGAATTTCTTAGGAGTTTACTTAACATTTCTTTGACATCCTCTTCTCTGAAACGTTTGGATTTCTTACTCCTCAAAGTTGGAGGATCATCTAGGGGGAAAGAATTAAGCCTTTTTTAGATGTTTCAATCTTGCATTAAGACCCATCAGCAGAGTGCTTGGTGCTGAGTCAGAGAACATTTGCTACCTGTGCCCAGGACTGCATGGTGCTCTCAGCCTCAGGAAGTGCAAGATGCCTGGTGCTCTGCCTGATCTTTGGGTCTGATTAATTGGGGGAAAACATAATTTTTATAAGGTTACAATTTATTCTAAGTATAAGGGTAATATATGCTCATTGTAAAATTTTGGAAGATACAAAAAGGCATAAAGAAAAAAATTAAAAACACTTATAATCCTACCATCCTGTGATAACAACTAGAAACTATAATTTCCAAGCACGTTTGTCTTCTCTTTAAGCAATTCATATCCATTCATGAAGACTAAGTATTTGAAATCAGTGATTTATGGATGCTAATTTTAGAAAATGTCCATCCATGCAATTTAGCAGGTAGAATTATTGCTAAATTTAAAGATGTACCAAAGTTGGTGAAATTAAAATTTCTTAATCTTATACTCCAGTTTGATTTTATTTAACTGAAGAAAGACATAATTGTGGCCAGGCGTGGTAGCTCACACCTGTAATCCCAGCACTTTGGGAGGTCAAGGTGGACAGATCATGAGGTCAGGAGTTCGAGACCAGCCTGACCAACATGGTAAAACCCAGTCTCTACTGAAAATACAAAAATTAGCAGGGCCTAGTGGCGTGCACCCGTAATCTCAGCTACTCAGGAGGCTGAGGAAGGAGAATTGCTTGAATCCGGGAGGCGGAGGTTACAGTGAGCCGAGATCTTGCCATTGCACTCCAGCCTGATGATAGAGCAAGACTCTGTCTCAAAAAAAAAAAAAAAAAAAAAAAAAAGACAGAATTGTGCATGTTTAAAAATATTAGCATGGAATCAAACAAAGAAATATAGTGACTTCAGTGGTTTTATTTGCTCCTGTGTGTGATCGTCCCATTTATTTTTGCCTAATATGGGCTGCATATATAAGTAAGTTTTCAACTGATACCAATTAATTTTATGTGCACAAGATGAAGATCTATTTGAAGTACCATCAAAATTTAACTTTTGATATTTGTGATTTTGGTTGTTACTGTTTTGGCTGTCTTGTAATCAAAATTTAGTATAATTTATTTAGGATATTTTTCTATTATCCTGGGGGAAAGAGTTACAAATCTCACCACTATAAAAATAACAACAATAAAAGACACTCATGACATTATTGTAATAACTATGTTGTTTGATTCAAGTTGAAATAGCTTGTACTGAACATTATTTTTAAAAGCCATTTCTTAAAAGAATAACTTCTATAATGAAAAGGTTTATCCTCTTGTGTTTTCTAGGTATCTGGCCATCCGAAGAGGTGTTGGCTTACTACTGCCTCAAGCACAGTAATATATTCAGGTACAGAGCTGCACTTAAGATATTTTTTAGCCCATCACGGATATTGAATCAACATATTAAAAATTGCCGTGATTACATTCTTCAAATTAAATTGTTAGAAAAAAATAAGAAAAAGAAAAACGGAAAACAGAAGGGAAGAAAAGGAAAACAGAAAGAAAGGGGGAAAAGTTCACAGTGAACACATGTTGCTTCTCAAATGAAATCTGAATCGCCTTGGGTACTAATATTGCACAGCAAGATTTTTGCTGTATGTCAAAGGCTTTTGATTTCCACTCAAGGCATTTTATTTCACTTTGATTTGGGGGAAACAAAAGTGAAGCTCCAATCAATCCTTACTGATTGTGAAGGTCAAAAAAAAAAAAAAAAACCAACCAAAGACATTCTTTAAACTTCTGCCAGGGAAGTCACTACAGAATGTCTGATAAATAAATACCTCACAGCTATTATTTAAAGATGCCATCCCACCCCTGGTTTTAAAAGTATTTTTATATATCTAACAATATGTATTTGTGAACTATAAATTAGCATTATGGATTCATGCACAGAAATAAGTGTTTTCAACTGTTAGTGTGCATTACAGATCAAACCCATGGATGGAATTCAGGAAAAAAAAAATCATTTGAAAATTCTGAAGATGTTTGGTAGACCCAGAAAATACAGGTTTTTCATTTTAATTATGATTTTATAGAAGTCATTCAATATATACTTCCTGAATAGCCCATTATTATTCCAGATAAGTCACTAGTGATCATAGCTTGTGTTTTAACAGTATGTACTTACAAGATTGGGTCAGTAATATGTATTTTTTTAAGCTCTGTGGGTCCATATTTACCAACCAGTCTATAATTGCTTTGAACAACCAAACACTTATTAAGTGTGTTTTGAAATATTAATGTCCTTGCTTGGCTCCTTCTCCTCCCTTTCCCCCTCTTCCCACCTCTCCCTCCCTTTTAATTTTGCTGTTTTTCTCCTCTTGAGGTAATAAACTTCCCAAACTGGGAAGAGGAAACAGTCCTAAGAGTCTAAGCATATAAATAAGAACAGGGCAATTTTGAATGTGGGCTGCAGAGCTGCCCTGGAAGTCTGGCGTTTGCTCATCTCGCTGTGCTTAAGCTTGACTGGAGCTCCAATCAGCGAGCAGTGGGCCAGGGCGAGAATGTCACACGTTGAGGGCTGATATTTAGGCACAAAGGGGAAGGTAAGTGCAGAGTCCCCCCCTAGACTGTCAGCTTTAACTCTGAGCTGCTCTACTTTTGAGCTGTGAAGTCAGAGCCCAGTCATTACTTTAGCCTGGGTTTGCTGGCTTAACCATATTATGTCCCTGCGTTGTTTATTCACTGTGTTGTGTTGGGGTCAATTGTAATTTAAGTGTTAATTGCTAAATACTCTTTGTGTAATTGTTCTTTATGGAGACTGTTCAGCTTTCCAAAATGTTTCAGTTTGTTTTAGAATTTTTTTTTAAATTCAGGAGTGCATCTATTTATTTTGTATGTGTTGTGTGTATGTGTCTATAATATAGGTATATACACACTCACATATATTCTTCATTTACTTGTCTAACTGTTTTTGAAGGAATGAATGTGGATTAACAGTGTTATCCTTTCCTAACAATTATCTTTCGCTACTCTAGCTAGTTTAGTTCTAAAAGACAGCGCCATTGACAAGGGAAAAAAAGGGAACCTTCTCAGATTTTTCAGCTCAGCGGTGGTAATGTTGCAGTGAACACTAATGAGGGAACCCCCACTGATTTGCCTGCTTTGTGACTTTTCTATTTCATAATTATTTTTAAAACGCAAAACGACATGAGGTAGCCTAGTCATGTCTCTACAACTTCCTGGTAGCGCCGTTCTTACTGCAGATGGCAATTTGTTCTTGTAACATATATCTCTCTCTGACCATTTTCATCTAATTTGTATGGGTTCTACCATTTCTTTTCTCTCTTTCAGGGCCCTTGCTGTGTGTGAGCTAGGGGGTGGCATGACATGCTTGGCTGGGCTCATGGTAGGTCTTTTCTCCATTCCAATCCCATTCAGAGGGAGGAACAAAAGGAAAAATGTTCCAGGGCCTCCAACTGCTGGGTCAGAGAACCGTCAACAGCATCAGCTGCGGTCAAGCTGCCGGGTCTTGAGAGACCTTCTAGATTGACTTACTTTCGGATCATATTGATTTTAGGGTTGCCTCGATGAGCAGAAACATTTTACCTCAGTGTAGTCAATATTGCTTGTTGTGACATTCCAGGCCTGGCACAGCCTTTCTTTGCCATAGCGAAAGCATTTTTTTTTTTTTTTTTTCAGATTATAGTCCCATTTGCTAAGATACAGGAATAGCCCGGCGAATCACAGTTGGAGCACCATGATATAGCTGCTAATGTTTTGCCTGCATTATTACACCAACAAACATGATCCAGAGCGCTCAGTAATTAGATTCTTTTGAATTAGATTGGCCATTCAGGAACGTCGTTCCCCATTCTCTGGGTTCTGAGTCATGTATTCAGGAGATATTATGTAGCAGCACAGTGCATTAGACAAGTTTTTATGTCTCTACAAATAAAAGCATATTGTTACACTGATTGGCATTTGACAAACCTGTCGCTCTTATACAATGTGTCGAGGTTACAGCCCAATGTGCGAGCATGTCAAAGCTCACAAAAAAATTACCCTCACAAAGCCATCTGCCTGCAATGCAAAGTTATATGAAGGGCATCAGGCAGTCAGACAGAAGCAAGCTGAAAGGCAGAGTGACAGCCTTGTATGATGGCTCTACTAGATAAACAGAAGCCCACAAATGAAAGCCTCTCAGAATACCATCATCCGCTGTCACAATGCAATTACCGAACAGAATGATAGCAAGATAGAGGCTCCCGCAAATGGAATGATAAAAGTATTGACTGATTTGATTGAATGATTAAAATAATGCAGACATAAAATGAAAAAAGATTGAAGATTGTTACAGAGAAATAGGTGAGGAAGCATGATACTGAAGGCTTGTCACTCCTGTCTTCACTTCCACACAGACAAGCATATTTGCTCATTGTTTGCTGTGCTCCCTTTTTTTTTTCAGGTTGCTATTTCTGCAGATGTCAAAGAAGTTCTGTTAACTGATGGGAATGAAAAGGCCATCAGAAGTATCCTTATTCAGATAGAAAACGGGTTTGTTGTGCTCATTCCTTTTTCCCGGCTGAGTAACAATTGATATAAAGAAAGACAGCATGGGGTATTAAAAGAGAGCTTCCTCCCCCACATACATGATAAGTAATTAAGAAAAAGTAGAAATATATGAATTCCTTGCATACAACTCCGTGGGTTTTTTTCTTTCCATGGATTTTTATAGACATCTCTCAGTAAAGGGGCCTATGTTTTGTGGACCTCCCGAGGCAAGAAGAAAATTGGTTTCATAATTTCCAAGCATTCTTGCTCTTTTATTTCCATTGGAATTTGCCAGTGTAAAATAAATTATTTGGTATTTATTGTATTTGGATATTGCTGGCAAATATTAACTTCCAGCTTCATGTTTGTTATTACCTTTATGCACTTGATATTGTATGTACTGTGTAATATTGTGCCTGCTCTAATTGCTAAGGGGTTACCTATATCCCCCACTGGAAACAGCTGTCAGTTCTTCATTATTTCCTTTTATTTAGGACTTTATTTAGGATTATACATGCTATCTCTGTTTTTCTGCTATGCTATTACAGTTCAAACTCCATTCGATTATGCTTTGCTAATATGTACACAGAGTTCATGAAAATTGAACTGTACTTTAAGAAAGTAAGCATAATTTGTGGCTACTTTAGCAGTCGAGCTGATTTGCTCAGGGGCAGTTAACAGCCGTTAGAAACTGAGAGGAAAAGTGGAAGATATGTTTGCTTTGGATTTTTTTTTTTTTTTTTTTTTGGTGTGCCTTACATTTACATTATGAGGGAGACAATCTACTGATTTGAATTTTAAGCTCCTAAACTGCCAAAGCAGTTTTGATTTCTGTGGCATCTTACATACAATCTATTTCGGATTTTCTTTTTCGACTTCTGCCATATGATTTTTTGAAAATATGCAGCAGCTTCATCAAGCTGCTCAAACAGGAGAAAGGAGGTACGAGAAGCACAGTAGCTAATATTGTTCAGTAACACTTGTATGCTCTACTGAGCCCCACCCAGCTAATTGCCTGACAGACTTAAAAAAAATTCAGGAAGGAAAAACAGCCAATCACAATCTTGGCCTTTCACACAAGGGAAAGAGATCACAAAAGGTGCTTCCTTTTTTAAAATGCAGGATTTTAATCACGTTCTTGAGACTGTCTCAAGTTTTTCAAAATATTCCTGAAGATGAGCGGATGTTGTTTCATTCACTCTGCTTTATTCTGAGTTATTTCATGCACGTATCCATGTATCATTTCACTGTGCTCCTCCTCCTTATGTCAGGGAATACAGAGCAAGAGGAAGCTCAGGTATGCCAGCTCAGCCCCAGCGCATTTTTAGAGGGTGGGGGGAGCAGGATTATTGGACAAGAGAAGATTATTTTAGCCACAGAAACTTTCAGCTTGGGCCCAGTAACCTAAGGTTTTTTTCAAGTCAGCAGGTGTCTTATTTAATAGCATCAGAAACCAATTAGAACTTTTATCAAACTATGGGAAACATCTGTAGTCAGTATGTAAATCTATGTGTTCTAAAATTATTATTGAGCTAAACTACAGAGCTTCCAAAGAAAGGAAGCAATGCTAATGTCATTAATTAACACACCTTTGCTTTAAACAACAAAGATGCCACGCCAGCTTTTGAAATCAGAGAGGAAATCTCAGATTCTGTATTCATTCTGCCGGCCTTTCAAAGAAATGACTGGTACAGCCCCCTCCCAAGAAAATGGATTTTTAACATTTGGTCCTCAGAAGCTCAGCCCTGAGACTGCTTTATTGTGCTGGGTTTTACAATGGGTTTAATATAGCAGGGTGCCAAAGGGCAGGAGGGGAAGAACTTTACAAAGTAGATAAAGTAGGTCTTTTCAGGATGCAGACCAAAATTGGTAGTGTGTTTTATTTCATCTCTTAGGACTTTCCTGATGGAGTTCAGTTTTTACCATGCAGTTGTTAGAACATAGAACACTATGTTTGTGTGCCTTTTTCTGTTGTAACTAGATCTAATTTTTTTTAATTAAGAGAAAAAGCATGCATAAAGCCTTAAAATTGGCAATGTGTTTTTCCTGCTTTTAATACTAATGCTATTCTTGATTTGCTAACAGAGCTTACAATTGGTATTCGTTGTCATCTGTTTCACTGACTGAGGTTAATATGAATGATTTTTTTTTTTCTATTTGCGTGCCCACTTTCTGTAAGAATAACTAATTCACTGAATCACATACTATTGATGCATATAGATTGAAACAAACTTATTTAAAAATTACTGTTTACATCTTTCCTTTAAAATTTTAGGAAGCCTAAATTATATAGCAGTTGTAGGATATTATTCAAAAATTACTTTCTAAAAAGTAAAAGTGGATGTCAACAAAAAAAGGGGGAGAAACATTGCCAGAAGCCAGAAAATCTCTTAGTAAAGCTGCTAATTATTCTTAATGGGCAAGATGAGCACATTAAGAAACAAATGAATACATCAGTGAAATGTAATTGAAAATCGACCTGGCAATGGCATATCACATCTGAGTATTGGCCTGTATATTATTCTTATCATTTTAAAAATTGTTTTTGTTGTTCTTGGCTTCTGTATTTAATGAATCCAACTGAATCTTCTCAGTCTCTTAAGCTTCTAAGATTCTGATTTTTACCTCTTAAAAATAGCATTTCGTGATATTTCCTTTTAATTTTATATTATTTCTATTTGTTTTAGTATGTGAGGCAATGAATGGATTGGTTCTGAATCTTTATATCACAGAAGCATGTCAACCAGTTTTGAGGTTATTTATTATTTCCCTAAAATATATCAAATGGATTGCCTATGTCTTCTTGAGTTTTCCATCTTGATTCTGAAAAGCTAGATATTGATCTGAGATTTATGAAACAGAGATGTCTGGAAAGATATTAAGACTTGAGGTAAAAATGAATTTTTTAAGTCACAAATGTTTTCTTAGATTCATGGGTAGTTTTCCCTAAGGTCTCCTTGGTCTCCTTAAACTGCATTGCTGGGTCTATGAACCCAAAGCCCCCACACCTGAGAGCTGCTCTTCCCTACAGATTCCATTTTCTCTGTACCCCAAGAGAACAAAGGATAAATTAGAAACGGGATCATTTCGTTTGTCCAGTTATAAAATTTATTCCAAAATAGTGTGAAACGTGTTCCTTTTCTTTTTCTTTCTTTCTTTCTTTCTTTTTTTTTTTTTTTTTTTTGGTAATGCCCCCTTAGTGTCAAGAAAGAAATCTTCAACAGCCCACATATAATAATTACTCCATAAGGTTTGTAGCTTGTGATAACAATGACCTAGGAATAGGAGAGACACATGGTATACTGAGCTATTATTGATACTAAGCCTCTTCTAAATTATGATGAATAAAAGTAGAACTCCTGAAGGTGAGCATCCCTCTCTGGCTACAATCACTAATGTGCCCAGCACAGGCGCCCTGCCTTAATAAACATCTGGCAGTTCTATGCAGAAGATTCCAATGTTTGGTGACCCATTTCTCTGTAAGCATCTTATCCCCATAGTATGCACAGTGTGGGTCACAGATCTTGAACTTAGGATTCTCCAAAAATGGGTAAATCTCCTGTGCTTTTTAAAGGAGACACCCCGGGTTTAACATTATTTTTATTTAATAGAATCCCTGACTTGAGTAACTAATGAGTGAAGCTTCATGTGGACTGTGCAGCCTGTACTATAGATGGTTGACAACGTGGAAATCCCGGGCCATCTTCCTGTGTCCAGGCTTCTTCTTCCAATGCCGGCTGTACTTCCATCTACTGATGAGTCATAAGTAAACTCTATGTGCCTCACATTGGGTAGCAACTCAACAAATATCTATTTTTGGAATTAAATTAAAATTAATTCAACCAATATTAATGGCATGTCATTACAGGTGCTAAAGATACAATAGTGAACAAGATAGGTCTAGTACCTATCCTTGGCTAGAATACATTTATACACATGAAGGGCAGAAGTCCTTTGATAACTCTGGTTATTTAAATTCTACAGTATAAATGTTCACATAATTAATTCTAACTTTTTTTTTCTTTTTTCTCCTTTTTGTGGAGAATGGGGTCTCAGGCAGTCTTGAACTTCTGGGCTCAACAGGCGTGAGCCACTGTGCCCGGTTAAGGTAATTAATTCTAAGCAGCAAGGAAAGAAAATAAAGTGTAACTGCCAAACCTCATGTTAGTTACTTTACCAGCCTCTTCATCCTACCAAAGCTTTTGCCTAAATTATACACTAAGGTAATGAATTGACATGAATTGGGCACCTACTATGTGCCAGGCCTATCATATGTGATACTCCATTAAGCCTAACAAATAGATATCATTATTTCTGTTTTAGAGATGGAGCTCAGAGAGATTAATTTACCCAAGGACACACAGCCACCAAGTATCAGAACCAGCACTAGAAGCCAGGTTCATTTGACTTCAAAGCTTATGTTTTTTCCACTTAAACCATTCCGGGTCACCAAAAGCTAAAATGATTTGGTGAACCTCATCTTGCATTTTCTTACCATGCTCTGGAAATAAAGGCCTCTCATCCATAAACATAACAATTGGCATTGCTAACAGAGTTTATAGTACCTCTATGGCATCTTCTCAATTCATGTGAGTAATAAGCACATTTAAGAATATTTTGTAGCCTTAAATTAGCAAATATTGCCACATTAAGCATTAAAAAGAAAAACCTTGAGAGATCAAAATGAATAGGGTTTGTATTATAATCTCATAGTTTCCTACCCTCATTTTTGGTATTTTGGTATTCCAACGAAAATAAAGATAACATAAACCAAGAAAGTGGTGCTTTATGAATCACAGTGTTATTATTTTTAAAATATTTTCTTGCTTAAAGAACATGACAACTCTCAAAATGTATATATAACTACTGGTAAATAATTGCTAATTGCAGGAGGAGGCTGATATTTTTAACAATATGATACGTACATATAACATGTATATAATTTGTTTAAATTACTATTATATAAAACTATTTTTTAAGAATAAAAATCAACTGAAACAAAATTGAAATGGAGCCCTACCTCTGAACAGGGCTTTATTTGAGAAGAAAACCTAGAGATAGAATTCCGGTTTCCTTTTAGCCACAAACATATATCCTGTAGCTCTGGAAGTCCAGTTGCCTAGACAAGGGGATTGGAGGCAACTACTCTGTATTCATTTAATCAGAAATCACATTGAGGCTTTCTTTGCACCCAGTCCCTCCCACTGAAGTGCTCCAGAAGGTGGGTGCGGTTCAGAGAACACGATTTGGCCCGTTGTGTTGAACACTATCCTGGACATATTGACTCAATGTGATTGGATTTCCTTTATTACCCTGAGGTGACACAGAAGAATGATAAAATCTATTATTGGACACAGTGCCATCCAGAAGAACCATCAAAATCTGACCTAAAGTAAAGGGTGGGGAGCAGGAGATCTGAGTTTATCTCTTAAGGTAATATTTTAAAATACTGTTGACATTTTTTCTTCTCATGCTCATTTTAATATTTAAAAAAACCTCTTAAACCACAAAACATATTTCCTTCCAGTTCTAAAAATAAAGCAGCCTAAATACTGCTGTGGATTTTTTTTTATTTAAAAAATTGCTTCTAGAATATAAATACATATGTTTGCTTCAGCCTTACCACCTGGAGTCACAGGTTTATAAATTGTATAAAAGTATATAGTGTTAAGATGTTTACTAAAAATTATTAATAGGTTTTCTGAGTTATATAATTTAACTTCCCTGAGACTATTTTATAAAAAGTATTACCTCCACTAACAAAATAATATGTTTTGCTTGATAGATTAGTCATGTACTCATACGACTCTACAGGTGTACCGGGCACATTATGGCATGCGGTTGGATGCCATGGAAACTCTAAGGAGGGTGTGGCCAGAGTGTGGGGGAACTTAATCAAAAACAGTTGTCAGCTGACTCTTTACTAATTTTGTTCTTCTCAGAATAAAGATGTCAGCTGTCCTTTTCTGCAAGACATTTCATTTAGAAGACTTTCCTGAAATACTTTCTTCCTGAAATAGACAGAACTGTAGGCCGATGTGTCATTTTAGTTAATCAAAACAAGTAGGCAAATTAGTCTCTTTTATTTTTTTAATGAATGTAATTTAACGGTATTTAATTTGCATACAGGAAAGTTCACCCAGGAAAAAAAAAAAAAGTCTGCATTATAGCACTTTTGTAAACCTCAACAAAGCCCTTCATTAGGAGACCTAATTGGTTTTTCCTACCCACCCCTGGGGGAAGAAAGCTATCACAGTACCTGCTTATTCACTCAGAGAAGAAATGGGTGTGCCTGGTGGTTCAAGCAGAGATTTGGGTTAAAAAGTCCTGTGGCTCTGTTTTTGCAGGGAGATCTTGGTCAATGCTTGCTTTGAGCATGCAGGAAACCTGTTTTTCTGAGCAATAGGAGAACATCGCTTGTCTGCTTGGTGTCCTCGCCATGGGCCCAATTTAGTTCAGCTTGTAGCCTTCACTGGAATATTTTATTTCTTGACTATTTAAACCTGCCTTATTCCAAAAGAGGGATTTTGAGGCTTCTTACCGTGACACATAGAATATACCATATAAAATGAATAGGAAAGTGAGGGCAGTTGGAAATTGGAAAGCCAGGAAAATATGATGAAGCCAGGAATAGAGGTCAGTAGAGAAAGTATATGCAACAGGGTCTCTTGTGGTTGTTAGAGTTAGGCCACACATTTGGCTCTGAGTTGCACAGGTGCTGGAGCAAAGAGAAAGAGAGGATCAACTCTAAGAGTTATCATGCCGGGAAATGGAAGCAACATCAGCTTTTCCGGGTGCTGAAACCTGACAATTTTTTCCGATGGGCCCTTGTAAATATGGCGCTGGGTGATGTAATGAATCAGCTCCTGAAAACATGTCTTCCATAAATATGGCTCTTTTGTACAAGTCCTTCCATGCCAAAGGCCATAGCGTAAGTCTGTAAAGACAGTTCTTCAGGGGACTTTTCACTGAACTGACTTTCTTCAGTAATTCATTTTCTCTCAAAGATTCTCCAAGATTTTCTCCATCTTTTTCTACTCACTTCCTCCCAAGTCTCATCCTGCTGCTCCTCTCCACCGCCCCCGCCCCCAGTAGCATTTAGGAGATTGGAAATACTTCACACTGGAAAGTCTCAGGAGACTGACATTGCCCTCCCTGCTGACAGAGAGGCTTGCCTTTGGACTCCTTGCCCTTTTAAGCAAGTAGGACATGGCACCTATGGGACAGTCATTTCCCATCAGCACTCATAACTCTAGGGCTTGCCATGATGATCCATCTCAGGTGATAAAATGCAGCCCAGGGAAGCGAAAGAGCTTGCCTGTGGCAAGTCAGCATCCTGCTTCCCACCCCACATGCAGCTCTTCTCCTTTCACAGTACTCATCCCATGCATGATAAAAAGATCGGCCAGGCGCAGTAGCTCACGCTTGCAATCCCAGTATTTTGGGAAGCTGAGACAGGTGGATTACCTGAGGAGAGGAGTTTGAGACCAGCCTGGCCAACATGGTGAAGCCCCATCTCTCTAAAAATAGAAAAAGTAGCTGGGTGTGGTGGCTCATGCCTGTAGTTCCAGTTACTAGGGAGGCTGAGGTGGGAGGATCACTTGAACCCAGGAGGTAGAGGGTGCAGTGAGCCGAGATCATGCCACTCCAGCCTGGGCAACAGAGCGAGATAAGAGTTTCTGGACCTTTTTTTTTTTTTTTTTTCCAGTCAGTTCACAATCACTGCAGACATTTTCTTAACTGTGTCCTGTAGATGTGCAAGACATCATCACAAGGAATCAGAAGGCTGGTGTTTTTAAGACTCAGAAAATATCAAGCTGGTAAGATACCTTTCTGCATTAAAAAAAACTCTGATTGAAATTGTTTTTCTTGATACTATGGATGGTTATTAAAAATAATAACAGCTAACATTTATTGAGCACTTACTGTGTGTCAGGCACTGTTTTAAGCACTTTACAAGTATTATCTCATTTAATGCTCACTAGAATACTATGAGGCAGACAAACACTCTCATTATCTCCAATTAAGAGATGAGAAAACAAGGTAAGTATATTAAACACTGGGTAGGGGATGATTTATGATTAGACAGTATGAGGTTGGGAGAAGCCAGGCCTGGGAACTCCTTAAATGGCTCTCTTCCAGTGAGTCTCAGCCTAGGAGCAGTTTTGTCCCCAAGGGGACTTTTGGCATTCCCTGGAGACATTTTTTTTGTTGTCATGACTTGGTAGGAGAGCGGGGAGTGTTGCTACTGGCATCTAGTGGTAGAGACCAGGGATTCCACTGAACATCCTGTGTTGCATAGGACGCCCCCATACAACAAAGAAACATCTGGCCCAGAATGTCAATAGTGCCAACATTGAGAAACCCTGCTCTGTTCCATGATTTTAAAATAGTCTAGGTGTCCATTCCCTTTTACGTTCTGTTAATTCTTATACAAACTAGGAGGAATGCTTGCTCTTAACCAAAACAATGGTGTGTACTATGATGCTACATTTTATTTTTGCCCTGGTGGTAATGGATCTAGAGAAGCGAGTAATCATTTCATAGTTTTCACATGAAATATCTGTATTTGTGTATTTTTTCTCATTTATTTAACCACAGACTTTATTAGAATAACTCCATGTTAAATTAATTGTTTTCTTTATTACTGTGAAGCTGTCATCCTTTGGTAGTTTGAATTTTCCCTATTGTGAAGACACTTTCCCACCCCAACTTCCCAGTCTGATTTTTTTTATTAGTTATATAAACTATTCATTAACAGACAAGACCTACAGACTTATTTCTCTTGGACACACCCACGGTACAGCCCTGGCGGCCAGTGGTCTGGGTGTGCTGGCCTCAGAAACGAAAATAGCTACAATGCTTAAAAACCAAAGTGACGACACATATTGGTGTGAGACTATGGAATAGCAATGATTTTTTTCTCTTATATTAATTGGTGAATGTAATGAAGTGTCCATATATGTATTTTTATTTTTTTATTTTTTTTATTTATTATTATTATTATTTTTATTATTATTATTATACTTTAAGTTCTAGGGTACATGTGCATAACGTGCAGGTTTGTTACATATGTATACTTGTGCCATGTTGGTGTGCTGCACCCATCAACTCGTCAGCACCCATCAACTCGTCATTTACATCAGGTATAACTCCCAATGCAATCCCTCGCCCCCCCCCTCCCCATGATAGGCCCCGGTGTGTGATGTTCCCCTTCCCGAGTCCAAGTGATCTCATTGTTCAGTTCCCACCTATGAGTGAGAACATGTGGTGTTTGGTTTTCTGTTCTTGTGATAGTTTGCTAAGAATGATGGTTTCCAGCTGCATCCATGTCCCTACAAAGGACACAAACTCATCCTTTTTTATGGCTGCATAGTATTCTGTGGTGTATATGTGCCACATTTTCTTAATCCAGTCTGTCACTGATGGACATTTGGGTTGATTCCAAGCCTTTGCTATTGTGAATGGTGCCACAATAAACATACGTGTGCATGTGTCTTTATAGAAGCATGATATATAATCCTTTGGGTATATACCCAGTAATGGGATTGCTGGGTCATATGGTACATCTAGTTCTAGATCCTTGAGGAATCGCCATACTGTTTTCCACAATGGTTGAACTAGTTTACAATCCCACCAACAGTGTAAAAGTGTTCCTATTTCTCCACATCCTCTCCAGCACCTGTTGTTTCCTGACTTTTTAATGATTGCCATTCTAACTGGTGTGAGATGGTATCTCATTGTGGTTTTGATTTGCATTTCTCTGATGGCCAGTGATGATGAGCATTTTTTCATGTGTCTGTTGGCTGTATGAATGTCTTCTTTTGAGAAATGTCTGTTCATATCCTTTGCCCACTTTTTGATGGGGTTGTTTGTTTTTTTCTTGTAAATTTGTTTGAGTTCTTTGTAAGTTCTGGATATTAGCCCTTTGTCAGATGAGTAGATTGCAAAAATTTTCTCCCATTCTGTAGGTTGCCTGTTCACTCTGATGGTAGTTTCTTTTGCTGTGCAGAAGCTCTTTAGTTTAATGAGATCCCATTTGTCAATTTTGGCTTTTGCTGCCGTTGCTTTTGGTGTTTTAGACATAAAGTCTTTGCCCATGCCTATGTCCTGAATGGTACTACCTAGGTTTTCCTCTAGGGTTTTTATGGTATTAGGTCTAACATTTAAGTCTCTAATCCATCTTGAATTAATTTTCGTATAAGGAGTAAGGAAAGGATCCAGTTTCAGCTTTCTACTTATGGCTAGCCAATTTTCCCAGCACCATTTATTAAATAGGGAATCCTTTCCCCATTCATATATGTATTTTTAAATCCTGCTTAAAATGTTGGGAGTAGGCTGGTGGCACAGGGGACAGCATGTTCTGTGTTTCTCATATAAATGAACAAACCACTTCTGTTTCCCAGAAAACCTGGGGTAGGTTGAGAGAAAGAGAAAGGGTCTGCCGTTACCTGTGGGGTCCCCGTTGTTAGGACAGCCTTTCCTTCACAGTGCAGACGGCCTTATCCTTCTGGAGAGGACTTCATTTTTGGACATGATTTTCAACCTGGTCTTTTAGTTATCAATCAAAAGTGCATTTTCTGTGTTGTCCTCATTTACATTTATTTAATGTTTAAGGTCATTTGTGACCATCTGAGTGTATTTCAGCATATGGAATCAGGGAATAATAGATTTCAGCTTCATGCTGTGAAGAGAGATTGTGTTTTTACAAGACATAATGTTGTTTACTGGGTGTTAATAATCACTAATTAATAAACATATCTAGACTTCTAAAATGTTGCATTTTGAGGAATAAAAATGTCAAGTGTTTAACTTATGGAGTGCAATAGTATTTTCTGTCATCTCTTCATAAAATAATTAAGTTACATAAAGAAGCAAAATGGCATTGTTCAACAAAGGACATATCCCAAATGCTTAATACATGGCCTTTGTTTCTATTTTTCTGTTCTCAAAACTGCTATTTCTAGATATATTGTTCTGATATGTACCTGGACATATAGACTATGTGACAATAATAGTCATATAGAAACCTCCAAGATAAGGGTGGGTTTTTCCCCCCATCTTTATCTCATACTAGTTGCGGTCAGTTTCTTTTCTTTTGAACCCTGCAAGCATTTTGTTCAAAGTCTACCAAAGCACTTTCTAGAGAATAGATAGATTGAGTTAGTCCTTGAAATGCCTTGATCTTATATTAAGGAGCAACTTGATCACTTAACTGTCAAGAAGCTAAGAGAAACGGCCAGCCACTGATGTAATAGTCAGTATTCTCCCTCCATCCACTGCCTTCCCACCCATAACCAGTACAATGTGATGAAAGTATTCGTTCCACGAGAGAAGAAATAAAAGGAAGCCATTCACAAAAGCGCTAAGATAGAGTTCAATACTCTTTTTTAGTACCTCAATGCATATGCAGAATTTCTCCTCCACATTGGAGGTGTGGAATAACAGCAGCGACAGATAACTAAGAGGTATTTACCATAGCTATAAAGCCCACACGTGAGCCAAATATTTCTGCTATTAAAAAGCATTTCAAAGCTTGACATGAAGTTTGTAACAGCTGAATGTCTCTTATGACTTCATTTGCAAAGATGTATAAGCTGAAAGGAAAGTCATGATATGAGAACTATGAGCCTAAGAAATGGTATATATATTTTAAAAAAAAAAAAAAAAAAGCTGCCCAGAAATTTGATTGGCATCCAAGCTCCTGTTCTCACTACTCTGATGATGTTCTCCATAACTATCAGCATTTCTCCTACTACTGACGTCTTCCTACCTCTTACACAGGGGCAGACCCAGGTTGTATGGGGCCTGAAACTTATTTTGAGGGCCCACTTAAGAAGAATGAATTCTATTATACCTTACTTTGATAAATTTTACAGAAATATATGACCATGTGAACACATTACTAGGGCTTCTCCAAGGGCCTTGGAAGGGCCCTTGCAAGAGGCTCTGACGCTGAACCTTCATTAGCTTCACAGTCAATCCACCTCTGCTCTCATAAGCACCACCATCCTTGCCTAGGGTAACTCTTCTCTTAGCTACCAAACTTTCCTGCTCCCTCTATCTATTTTAATCATAGTCTGATTGTAGCTAAATGTGAAAGACGTGTTGGTGAAAGTCTGGAAGCCTTAGCCCTGGCTGAATCTAAGATCCACTTATATGAAGCATTACATTCATTACTTTTCAGCTTAATACAGTTATTTGGTTTATTTGTTGTCCATCCATGCAGCCGTCCATTCACTTAACAAATACGCCCAAAGTACTCTGCTTTGGAGAATATAAATATGCAGTTATCAAAAATAATTCTTGAACAAAGGAAACCATGCTACTAAATATAGCTAGAGATTGATGAAAGAGCAAGGATATTTACAGTATCTCAATTGTTGGGTTTATCTAAAGCTGTCTTCAAAATTGTGACTGTTTAACAAAGAACCATTTGGAGCTTTTGACGTCTATGTATTTCTAGTTCTTCCAGAATTAGTGAATAGCGTCATTCTCTGGTTAATATTAGTTGAGAATTACTAAAAAATATATTAAATTTACCCTGCTGTGATGATGAAAGTAAGTTTCACTTAACAGTGTATGTATCTTTGTGTGAAAGTTGCTAGTGAATTCAGGTTTATGACCTTTATTATTCTTTGATAAACCATGAATTTTAGTAAACTATGGAACTTATGTTAAGACTTTTTTTATAACCCAAACTTTACCTTTATGTAGGCCCCCAAGATTGGTTTTTGGTCGCATTGCCCTATTGCTTTTTAAAGATTTATACCTCCTCTGAGACTCAGTTTCCTTTAGAGGTTAAAATGGGGATGTGGAA